CCGGGGCTGATCCCGTCGGCTTCGGCAGCTCAGGCCCAACGGCCGGGCCGGCTCGGCAGCTCATTTGGCGCCGCTTCTAACGGCCCGACCGATGGCTTCCTCGCTCAGCTCAGCACCGGCCGGAGCGCGCCCGCCGCCACATTAGACGGCAGCGCCAAATGACGGCTCACCGAGTTATTTCCGCACATGCCTCGGAAACCCATTACGGCTTAGGGAGTGGGAGTGCAGTAGTTTGAAATTTGTTGAAATCATATTGCCATTACAAAATTACATTGATATACGTCAGGCTGCCGCACTATCCGGCGTATTCCCTCCCAATGTGGCCTCTCACAAGCCGGTCGCGCTCACCATTCAAATATTTCCCTGTCAGAGTGACTAGCCACCGTGTATGGGAACAGAGACCCTGGCAATGGTCACCCACACCTCTCCCCCCCCCACACCCACACACACGTGCGTGCACAGCGCGCACACACCACGGTCAATCGGCCAAGTGGTCAGCGTGCCACCACTTGGACCGGGTCGGCCGGGCCACCGACCCATCCTATTCCACGGCCCCACACGGTCGGTCCGCGGTCACAATATCCCAACACCTACGCATCTCCCTAACGCGTGCTGAACAAACCCTCAAGTGGAAATGTAGGCATCGTTGAATGCCGTGATCAGAAACGTGAGGTAGCTATACTATGATAATACACCTGTCCTAATGTCACTTCGGGAGAAAACTTGTTTTTGGCAAACAACCTTTAAAAACAAGCGGGAAATTAAATGCCACCAACTGCACGCTCAGCCATCAATCATATTTCACAGCCCACAAAATTTGACGAATTTATTTGCGGACATCAAACCTGCATAATCCCAAATAAACCATGTAATCTGGGCTCATCCCTGCCTTTTCAAGGTCACCATTCCGACCCCAGGCGGCAGCTGAGGTTGGACATAAGAGCGCGCTCTCCGTGTGACCGAGTGTGGGGTCAGAGTGGGACCGGCACCAGCCACCCTCGGGCCGAAGGTGAGCGGAGATGGAGATAAGTGCAGACCCATGTCGGGCGGTGCGTACGGCGATGTATTGAGATCGGGCGGACGGAGACGGACGTAGTAGGTACGGTGGAGTCGGGTCGCGGAAGTGCAGTCACTCCGGGGGCGATGCGTCTTGCGCGGTCACTGGTCACAAAGGTGTGTGCTTACGGTAAGTTCCGGATAGTGGAGTCGAGTCGCTCAGATACATCGGCTCGACGATAGTCCGGCATGCCAAAGGGATATCCTGCCTTTTACTTGCTAAAATACAACACAAAAAACAGCTGCATTTTGGCGTACCAGAGGTAGAAACCCACAAAAAAATGTCACTTATTTAGAGCTTCTTCTTTCGGAAATAAAAACATTTATTGTCTACTCCCTAGCAATCACGCTTTCGTCCTATTTGCTACCGTTCTGCACCTTTCAAAACACTTCCCATCGCCGTGCTGGGCATGCCTGTATCTAAAAAATCACTGCTCCCTTTGCCGTGCTGGACCCGCCCTCTCCGCTCGCCTGGCCGTGGCCGTGAGCCGGCGGTCGGTAAACAGGCGCCCGTAGCCGTGAGGGGCGGCTGCTGGACGCGCCCGTGGCCCGGGGAGAACCGGGGATGTCCGCGCCGCGCCGTGGTATGGGCGCCCGGCCCGGGAAACCCGGCCAGTCGGCCCGGCCCGGGCCAGTTCGGCGGCCGGTCCATGTGTGTGGCGCGCGCGGAGGAGTCGGTCCCCACTCCCACGACTGTAATCGCGGTGCGTGACAGCAGGCTCTCGGGAGCCGAAAGTCGGAGCGACTTCGTGACTTCTGAGACATCCAGAATTGACTGGATTCCGCGAATCCGAGCAGCTCTCCAAACTCACTGCGCTCACGTAACTCAAATCCCGGGAGCCGCGTTCCATCTATATCGCAGAAGACCGGCACCTGTCATCGCGCAGCTCGACCTGTCGCCTGTCACCGGGCCGGCTGACACCCGCCGGGGAGCGGTGTCACCGGCGCACGTTTGGGGGCCTCTCAGTGCACGTGCCGGCCGTTCCCCGAACCGGGCCGCCCGCCGTGCACCGATAGACCGGCGCGCGGATTAGCGGGATTACAGCGAGATGCTGCGCGGTCTCGCCGGGGCCGTATCGGTCGAGAGACGCCGTGCTATCGATGACAGAGCGGGTGTTGATTGAGCGAGGACGCAGTCGCCGCCTCCTGAGAGACAGGTGGGCGTTCCGCAGCTCGCGGCCAGTTCGCGTGCAGCTTCAGACTGCATATCACAGTCAGAGAAGCCCGCAGCCATCACGTGGTCTTTATATCGGCTAACGGGCGCCGGTCACGTGACCCGTGCGATGGAGCCGTGAATCACGCCGTCGGGCGCTGATGAGAGCCAGCAGCCCGCATGACGAGACCGCGGTGACCGCGTGTGCTCCCCGGAGCGGCCGGCACGCTGGACGGACCGGGCTGAGTCACTGGACGGAACGGCGTACCGGGGAGCAGGGAGGTCCCCTGCTTCAGAGACGGTACCGCAGTATCGCCTCGAACAAAGACCGAGACGGGAGGCGACGGAGGCATGTCGGAGTCACTTGGAGTCTTTTAGCGGATGTCAGAAACATCGACATTGGTGATTGATTGCAACGGAAAACGAAGTAGCAAAGCCTGAACGTCAGTGCAAAGGAGATCACCAGCTCGAGTATCCAAATGCTTGGAATAACGGAGAACCGTTTCTGAAAGCTGTATCAGAATCGCGGAATCGGTCTTGTTGCTAAAATTGATCCAGCTTTAGGATCACAGCTCGTCGATCAGCATTCTATTCCTAAAGAAAGTGGCGCTTATTCTTGAAACAAGGGCCTCGTTTCATAAAGCGATTCCGTAACTTACGCCAGTTTTTGGTCTTGCATTGCAAGTGCATGTGAAGCGATGACGATAGTTTGAATCGTCGAATTTATTTATCTTGCAAGCAAGAACAGAAGGGAGACGGGGAAATAAATTTATCGCTTCACATACGCTTGCAATACAAGCACAAAAACCGGCGTAAGTTACGGACTCGCTTTATGAAACCAGGCCCTGGACAGCGATGATCCAAGGAGCCAGCAGCTTCCCAGTGACATGGCAGCAATTTCCACCGTGCATTGTGAGCCATCGCTCAGAAAAGTCCCGGCGGTCGCCGTCACCTCTGTCCCCGGAGTGGCAGCACCTGGGTCGCTCGACGTGATACGATTCTGCCAGCTAGCTGGCGACGCGGCGACGCGCCGGTCGCGGTGGAGGGGGGGGGGCGGGGGCGGGGGCGGCAGACCGCCGGGCGGCGCAGGAAGGCCGCTGATAAGAGGCAGGCTGCCGGGCCTGGCGCTGCGCTGCGCTGCGCTGGAGGTCGCTGGGGCTCGTGCTGTGGTGGCAGAGCGCGGAGAGCTGGGGTCAGAAGGCAGGCGCAGCGACGGCCAATGAATGGCACGTGGGCGGTAGAGGACCGCAGAACTGGCTCCATCCGACCAGCGTGGTACGGGTCAGCCGACAAGTGACACAGAGGGAGGAGGTAACGCTGTACAGTGCAAAGTCGAGTCCGGCAGAATGCAGCCGGGTGGACCGGAGTGACAGGCCGGTGACGGACAGCTAACAAACAGCAGACATGGCGGACGGACAGCAGAGACAGCCGACAGACAGCTGTGTTACCGCCGTGGGACAGCCCGCAGACCGGCCGTGCCAGCTGGGTGACACAGAGCAGACGGCTGCGGTGACAGAGGGTAGCTGCCCGCTGCCACCACCGCGCAGTCGGGCCCTCTCCTCCCCAGCCGGGTCCTCCCCGCCCCTCCCCGGACCCCAGCCGTCTCGATCCGTGTCGCGACCACACCAACAACGGACCAAACACAGTACCATTTCCTGTTTCGACGCCAATCGGCGACGACGGACAAACTATTGCGGGACCAAACAGCGTTCGATTTGGGAGTTGGTCTGGAGCTAACCAGATCAGTTGGCCGCGAAATGCAGCCAGACTTCGGGAAATTCGGAGACGATTTTGTTGCTGATTTGTTGGTCGGAAGTTGGACGCCTTTTCGCTTGGCGCCACAATATAATTGTACGGAAGAGGAGCAGCAGATGGGAGTCGAAAAACCAGTACTGATTGCATCCCATATGGGACAGCAAATTTCCGTTTAGCATTCATCAACATAACTCTGCACATCGTTCACACTAAACAGCAGTCAGGCTGTCATGGAAGCGCTATCATGAGACTATTCTGAACACACTGCAGCGCCCCACTGCCGGTTTGGAAGCGGTCGTTCCACAACAGAGACAGAGGGCCGTGACAAGTTTGTAATCACAGGATGTCACGGAATGTTCACAGACGTCGGGGCTCCGTCAGTTCTCGGAGAACCTCACAGCCGTGCAACAGCGCGCTGCCGCTTCCAGCAGGCCCGGGCCCAGGCAGGCACGCTGTTTGCTCAACATTGTAAATATTTCTCAAATCTCGAGTAGAAAGATATGCGACTCCCAAACTATCCGAGACGAAAATAAACGCCGTCACGTCCTTACTGCAGCGGCCCATCTCGGATCGAATGTAACGCGACTCTGCATAGCGGACGGCGCGAGCAGGTCACACGGCGCCGCATCAGTGCTCCGCCGCCGCACTAAGCCAACAGCCCCGGAAACGCCCCTCAGAGCCGGCGCGGCGCACCAGTTCCCGTGCGGGATGAGCGGGGCTCTGCCGGCGCTCTCTCGCCCGCGCCGACCGGATCTGGCCGGCTCAGTTCCGGGCGAGCTCCGCGGCTGAGCCCGGCCCGGTGGTTTACCTGTGGACCGGCTCGCGTGTGGCACGGCAGGCGGGCGTGGGAGCGCGCCTCTCCCAACCCGACTGCACCCCCTCCGCGCTCCCCCCCCCCCACTCTCCACTCACACACCCGGAGTATACCCCTCCCCCGCTCCGCTCACCAACTACGCACAGTGCAGCGCAGCCTGACTCTAACCCTCGCTAACACCACTCACAGACAGCGCGACGAGATCGGCCCGGTCGTACTCACCTCATCCCACTTGATGAACTTCTGGCCCTCCTGCATGCACTGCGGCACCGAGACGGGTTTCAGCTGCACCACGTGCACGGCAGGCCGGTAGCCGGCCATGGCTGCTGCTGCTGTGGCTGCTGCTGCTGCTGCTGTGGCGGCGGCGGCGGCTGAGCGGTGCTGGCGGCCGACCGCCTCCCTCTGCAGACGCGCAGCGACTGACGCTGCTGGCGGCGGTGGCGGCGGCGGCAGATATTACCCCGGCCGGCTGCACCGCGCACGGACCTGCGGCACGGCCGGGCGGTCAGCGGCCGGACGGACGGACGGTGATGGTTAGTGGGCAGTGAGCAGATGATCATCGGCCAGTGATGGCCGAGCTACTGCCGAGGGAACGGAATACCGGAATACCAGCTCCCAATAGTGTGCTTCTCGATCCATGTCTACACGCAGTCGTGTTTCTAATATTTCCGTCAGTGTCCCAAAATTTTATTTGGGCTTGGGTGTTTGAGGGAGATACTCTGCGCTGCAAAGAGGGCTGAGAGGAGAAAATCGCCAGTTAGAAAGGCATAAAAAAGTTACTTGAAACAGTGATCATCAATTTTTTGTGAATGTTGGAGAATGTGGGAGCTGCATTATAAGATGATTTAATGCAATATGGAGCCCAGGTAGGTTAAAGCCAGTCAGCAAACGTACGTACAAGTGCTCTTTATTGGTAAAATAAGGAGTGAAAATTGTTCTGGAAAATATGAGATGAAAGTGGAAAATTGATTTCATTTGGATGTCACTTCCCACCGAAAACTAGCAAATTTTGGGACACTGATTTCCGTAAAGGACAGCTTATCGTTTCTTCCTCACAAGGCGTATGGTGTAATATTTAAATGGAATTAAATATAGCCCTTCAAGTAAAAAAAAAAATGTTTTCTACATTTCCGTAGGGACTCGAGTATAGCGAAACCTCGCAAGCTCGGCTAAATCTTCAGACCATTCATTAATTGGCCAGCAGACTGCTAGAGCATTACGCAACGGCTTGCAGGATGGTCTATTGCGTGTGTCTTCAATCCAGATGGTTTTACTAAAAATAGAAAAATAAAACACCGGTAACAGAAAACAGCATTAACAGCATTTGGCGACAAACGACCCGGCTAGATCTGCAGTCTCTCGGGCAACAGTGGAGGCCGTACTGAGATTGTCCAGACGGTTTGGCGGGGTCTTTCACGACTCTTTGGGACAACTTCCACTTTCAATGAGCTTCGAGGGGCGACAGGTGAGGGAACTTGGATATCATTCGAGGGGCGGCAATGCTCCGGATCTGGTACCAATTAAGTAAAAACATCCATCCGGATGTTTTACCGGATCCCTCACTAGACATGGCACCGGCTCCTCCGGACATGGTAGGAGTCCCTCCGGAGTCCGGATGGGACCCGCGTCCCTCAGGATCCCCCTCTGGTCGAGGGCCAGCCGTCCCAACAGACCTCACCGAGCCCGGCAGACCGCCGCCGCCGGCCCGTCCGGAGTGTATTGATCCCGGAGCTCCTACCTCTCCGATTCCGTGAGCCGGCGACGGCCCAGCACGAATACCTTCCGCTGGTCTCTACGGACACTGCCCCGCTGGGCACACTACAATTCGGGTTTATATTCCCAGAAACCCAAAATATCACGATCGGATGGTGGATGCCAGCTTCTGCGCAACGAGTTCATAGCACTGAGGGGGCTATAGGCCCAAGGCTCGACCAGGTAAAACAAGTTGGAAACAGCAAATTTGTTGTAGTACCCTCCTGTACAAACAAGTATCCTCCTAGAAGAGTAGTTGGTAAGGTAACACATACATAGTATCTACTATCCTGAATGCAGATTTTGTATAGATGTGCAATGTACATTATAATTATTAATTATGAAAAACTGTTCCACTGCTCAGTCCAATTGCAAAACAAGTATCAAGCGCTCCAAAATAAAAGGAGCACACTAACAGACTCGTAACACATTGGTAAACCGGTACATTCTTCTCCTTCCCGCTTATATAAACAGTCGGCGGTTGGCTTACTTCAAACTTCTCACATACAACCATCTGCACTCTACCGACTAGAGGTGGCAAAATGTGTACCCGAGGAACCGGTCCAAAGAACCAGTCTGGACCCTGGACCCATATGGGTCCAGACCGGTTCCTGGAAATTTTCAGACGGATCCAATCGGGTCCTACCACAAACCATGCATATTGCACACTACACATGATTGCAAAAAATGAAGTGAATGGAAAGAAAACATTTGCTCATGTATGTTTCTTTGCACACTGTAGCTCACGAGTATTCCCAGTGGGAAAAAAGCTGTTTTACATGATAATGATACAACTAATGATACCTACAAACAATTCGTATTAATTGACTTTTAGGGAACGGGCCCAACTGGCTCCGATTCTAACATAGACCGGGTCCGAACTCCGACTGGTTCCAGAAATGTCCAGTCGGGTCTGGTTCGAGTCTGGTTCCCAAAATTTTCACCCTTTGCCACCTCTACTAGAGACAAACAGTGACAGTAACACTTGTCACGTAGCTGGAGAGCAGCGATAAAGTAAAAAGGAGAATGAGCTGTTTAGGTCCATAACTCGATTCTCCGTTTCTACAGCAAACGGCGACTATTAACTATAATTTACTATAATCATCTTTGACTGAAGAATGGAACAACGTTGAAACCTTTCCTTTTATAAATTCAGCTTGAATCTGTGAATGGATAGATTGAAAGAGCCCGATCCCACGCTAGACAGAGCTTGCTGTGCATGCTCCGACCCCCTACCGTCCCATAGCGCAATTCTGAGCAACAGTGGAGTTTGAGTGCAAGTTAAACGTGCCCATTAAAGCCGGCATGATCCATACCATTTCACTTACAGCAACTGCTGACCACACTCAGACCAACCCTGTCACGAGTCTCATGTAGCGTACGCCGGAATGACTCGAACTCTGACTCTCGACTCGAACTCTGACTCTCGACTCGAACTCTGACTCTTTCCCATCGGAAGTCCAACACTCTACCAACTGAACTTCTGGACAGACCCAAGAGGAATATAGGGTGGTGCACACAGCACAATTATCACGTACGAGTGTTCGGCTAACCTTAGACATCCTATCACGAATCCCCAGTGTCTCAAGAGCCCATATTGTGGTTCTGATGTGCACGGGACTGGAAAAAGTTGTGGAATTAGGTATAGCAGGACTGGTGGCTGAAGGCTGACATGGGACAAGGTAGGATAATAACATTGAGGTCACCATCATCAGGTTGAAATATGGTAAGACTGCATCAAAGATGCACTATGGTACATAAATGGATATCAGTGAGATGGCTCAGCTGTGTGAGCAATTTGCCCTATCCACTGCCCTGTATGAGGCATGAGCTATTTTTATTGTAGGTATTTGTATTGAACAATCATGAGCGATCCACATTCTCAAAAATCGTGGAGATTACTGCTCAGAATCCATATCCGCGGTTACTAGTCTAACATTCACAGCATTCACACATTGACTCCAGTCAAAACACGGACAGAGACACTTTTGTAGTACACCCGGGGGCAGATTGATGTTCCACCACTCCCTACCCATTGGGCTCCCATGGCTCAGCACTGGCTGCTGCCAGTGTTGCCTGCCCTCAGCAGTCAGCACTGCTCAGCACTGCCTGCCAGTGCCAGTGCTGCTGAGCCATGGGAGCCCGATGGGTAGGGAGTGGTGGAACACCAATCTGCCCCCGAGTGTACCACCGGTACACCCCCCCCCCCCCCGCCAACCCGTTGCGTCAGCAATGCTATATATAACAGAATACAGCATGTTTTGCTCAAAAGTTTGAACACTTGCACATGTAAAAAATTAGAAGAATAAGCCTTCAGTATTGTGAATTGTGATAAGGCAACATCAAAAATAGATGCCTCAAAAGGATAAGCAGAGGACACATATATTTACAACTTTAAATGTCTAAATGATATGATGGAGAAAAATAATTGTACTAAATCGGCTCAACTTGTGCCATGGAAACATACCCAATATCATGAGATTTGCAGACAGTGGTCAACTAACAACCCACTTTGACTTACGTTCCAGCCAGCACTCAGCAGCTGATCTTGTTCATATCATTCATCTTGATCTGTAAGGGACTATGCAAAGAACATTTCTATGGGTCATAAACCACAAGTAACTGATGGTGACTGATTGTAGGAAAGTGTCGAACGACCGTCACGGCGGTATATACTGCCTTGGTCACGGCATATGACAGGCGTCAAACCTTGATACCATCACCACCCACATTTCCACTAGTATCAATATCTTCACCTAGTGGGCCTTGAATACCTTACACCAACACCGTGGCGACCGCCGCTATGCAAAGGGAAAGGGCAGATGAGCGGCCTTGGGAAGAGAGTTCGGGTACAGTTACATATGGAAGTCATGCCTCTAAGTTGCCTAGCAACCTGTATCTGTAAAGGCAATTAAAAGATATTAGAAGCAGGTTGCCAGGAAATCGGCTGATAAAGTATCAAAAGATATCCTTGTCAGAAAACTTTGAACAGAATTATGTATTACGTCTTGTCGCAGATACGCCATATATGTAAGCAAATGTTGAGCTGAGTTTCCTCTGCCCAAGGCAGTTTTGTTGTGAAGATGCTTCTTTCTTTTCACAGAATATTTTGAAATATTTTTTTTGTACAATTTGGAAAATTAAAATAGAAGGCTACAAATTAAAACAGAAGTTATTTTCCCTATCATCTCATTTGAATAGCTTTTGTTATTTGCTACAATATATACGCAGCACATTCAATTGTTGTGTTCAACACTTTTCCTTACGCTTTTCTCTGCCACAGAAACCTTCTAAAGCCCTCTTTTAATTGGCTGAGGTGCGCATCAGACGCCGAATCGAATTAGAATTGAATAGTTTTTAAGGCGGATGATTCAAGCGTCAAAGTTCGATCCGTCCTCGATTACAGAGAGTTTGGATCACACACTGCCTTGGTTGGATCTTTGTTGAAATCAAGGGTTGAAATCAAAGGGCCTCGTGACTGGTTGTTGCTGAACCAAGGCTGAACCACCAATTCTCTATTTTATCCGGGAGGGATTTTTTCATTGTTTCATACAAAATGTCACAAGGTAGCAAAGATATTAGGTAAGTTCAAGGTGAAGTGCAGAGTGCTTGCTTGGCTTGCTATAGGCGAATTAGTGTTCTATTTTTTATTACCTACCTACGCACTCGTATTTCATATCGTACCAACATTTGTGTTGCATTATCATTGCAATCTTGAGTGAAACAAATTAGGCATTAGTTACATCCCTAGTAACACTAACTCGGTCTGCGGTCATATGCTGTAATAACTGTTTAATTATTGAGTATAATTAGTGCGGGCATCTTACAAAGGTTTTCTGGTACCTAATAGTATGGATGAAGTCTGAATGGTAGGTCAGTAGGTGGTAGGTTGGAAGGTTATAAGTTTGTACTGTAGGTTGTAGGATGGTAGGCTCAAGGTTGTAGATTACTACCTACCTAGGTAAGGTTAGGTGAGGTTAGATTGTGTTTTATCTTCACTGCTCTTCATGTAGGTACACATTTACCAGTTTAAATCCGATCAAGGAGAGGAGAGGGGCTATACCTGGAGACGTTTCTCTCTAACCAATCCAAACCAAAGCAGACCTGACCTGACTTAACCTAACCTACAACGTACAAACTTAGAGCATACAAATCTACAAACCTACAGCCTACAAACCTACAGCACCTCTCTTTGGTTGGAAAACCTTTGTGTGACATCTGCACCAGTAATGCAGATTGCTGTGTCAGGAATAATTAGGTCTGTAGACTGATTGTGTCTGTAGTGAACAATGGTATTGTCTGTAATAACTTAAATTGTGTCTGAAATAATTTTGTCTGCTTGTTTGTAGCCCAGTGCCCGCAAAGTGTTTCTAGTTAGATAAATTTTATTTTGTTAGATTGATTTTCTGTTCAGATTGTCAGAGCTGGAACAGTTGTTAAAGAAATGTATTCTGATGCACTGAATGACTGCTTAATGTGCCTAATATAATAGAGAAAGCTCATTTTCATTGAGTTGTGATACATCAATGGTTACTTTACCTTGTTAACAGGCTGTTTGTTTTGTCTTCTTGCTCATAAGCATATTCTTATTTCAGTAACAAGACAACTGCAACCATCTTTGACCAGCTGAGGGCTGTGGCTCGCGATGCTGACCGGGAAATGGCAGCGCTGCGCCGCGCACGCCACGACCCCATCAGCCTGGTGCAGCATGACCCGACCGAGACCCTGCTGGCGCTGAGAGGGGAAATCAGCTCTCTGCGGCGCGACGTGGACGCGTCTCTGACGGCCGAGCGCCAGGCATCGGCGACGCTGCACGGTCTGGCCGCCGCCACGGCCGAGTTTGTCGAGCAGCGGCGCGCCGACCTCGCGGCCATCACCGCCTTCGTGGCGCAGTATGGCTACGAGCCGCCGCCGCCGCCGCCCGCCGACTCGCCGGCCGCGGAGGCGGACGGACAGACGGAGCCGCCGCCGGCCATTGGGGAGCCTGCCAGCGCGTGTCGGCAGCGGCCGGCGCCGCTGGACACCCCCGAGGAGGTGCAGCTGAGTGACGTCACCGTGGACATGTTGCGCGCCCGCACCCCGGGCTGGGGCCGCACGCCGGCCGGCCTCCGAGCGCCGCTCAGCGCCCGCAGAGTGGGCGTCCGCAGCGCTCAGAGAGCGGCCCGCTACGTGCCGTCGCCGGCGCGGCCGCCGCCGCTGACAGCAGAGGACGATACGTCGGACGCGACGGCGCTGCTCAACTTCCGCTCGATCCCGCTGCAGCCGGAGGGGCGGCCGTCGCCGGCGGCGCGCCAGCCGCCGCCCGAGTTCGCCGGCGGCGCGCTGCTGGTCACGCCCGGCCTCTGGGTGAAGCGGCGCTCCACGCTGTGCCGGCAGCCGCTGGACTCGGCCAAGAAGCCGGTGCTGCCGCCGGCGCCGATACTGAAACCTCTGGTCGAGCAGCCGCCGGCCGCCGGCGCGCGCTGGGGCTCCGACAGCTGCGCCGACGACAGCATGCAGTCACCAGAGCTGTCGGCTGCGACCCGCGCCATGCTCGCACGCAGAAAGTTCGGCAAAGCGTGATCGAGGTGCCGAGAAAAAAAGCCTGATGATACGCGGATAAACTTAGAGTTCTTGAAACGTAAGAGGGGAGTGGACATGAGAGGATGGCTAATTTAGAAGAACAGACGATCAGTGTGAGATACGCGCTCAGTGCGTAAATTGGACCATCAGTGCAAAATGCGGCACAGTGCGTGGACGAGGACTTCGCTTAATCACGGCCAAGGCCGGCCTAAGGGATCCAACGGGAATGACGTACCGGACGCGAAGTGCGCGAATGTGACCCTGCTATAGATTTCATCGAATATGCTAATATGTTGTAGTGCTTCTTGCCCTGTCTCAATGGCCTGTTTCAGGAGCCAGTCTCCTCGTAACTCGCATAGCGGCGCGACAGCTGGGCCAATGCCGTGTTCGGGCTCGACTGAATGAGCAAGCAGAGGTGCTACTTGATCGGCGCGATCTTCCATTGTCTGTGCTAATGACCCGTATTGATCATCTGTAAATAGATCTGTTGCTTATTCATCCCTGGCCAGGGTACTGATGAGCAGTTAAATAAACATGAATTCATGTGCATCAGAGCCATCATATTCGCTAACCTACTTGCTTGCTAACTAGTTTCACTGTAGCAGACGCGACTCGTTCAAACACACTGAGTCACCACCTGGACTGCATCCTGTATTGCACGGTCGACTAGTCGCTGACACGCGGATCGCACTGTTGCAGGCGACGGCACGGCACTCACGCACGGCGACACTGGCGCCGCCAGGCGGCCAACAATCCAACTCGCGGCGCGATGAGCACGAAACGCGCGGGCGCGCTCAGAGTCGAATGGAGATGAGGCCTACTGACTAGACAGACGGAGAGTGGGGCCGGCGGGCCGACCGGACCCGCGGGAGGGGGAGGGGAGGGGTCGGGCCGGGCAGCCACGGGCGCCCGGCCGGGCTGAGCGAGTGGGGAGACCTCTGGTGGGGCGCCGGCGCGGCGCAAACCACCCGACTAGACTGGGACTAGGGTCAGTATACTAATCACATCTACCGGACGCCACTGCGGCGGCTGACGGTCGTCACCTTTGGCACTAAAACGTCTCCTAAACAGCCATATCTTTGGCTCTGTTCGCTCGCCGCGGTTCTACCAGCGCTGAGGGACGCGATACTCCACTAACAGCCTACCACACCACGCTATCCAGTCGGCGGAGTCTGACCTACGTCCGGGCCGGGAGTCCGGCTCCCGGGCTGGGGACCTACGTGGCTCGTGTAGCGGACCTACCCTGTGCCGGCACTACAGGGCTGACACGCGGCCGATTGTGCTTCGCTGGATGGGTGGACCGCGCAATGACGTTATAACACCAGCTGCCGCCGCAGCGGGATCGCTGCGCAGCCCAGCAGTCCACGGACACAGCTGTGCGGCCGAGTGCTGTCACGCGGCTCCTCCTCACGACTGGCGCGGCGTCGGTGACCGGTGGCCGGCGTCACTGCCCGCCGCACTCCCCCGGCGAGCGGGAACCTGCCGGGAGGGGGTGCCATTCATTCATTAATGCCCACACTGCTGAGTGCTGTCATTAAGAAACAGCGCGCGAGAACAGGCACTCTCCCTCTCCAAGTTCCGTTGTGGAAGTTGGATTGAATCAGTGACCATTCATTCGCTTGGAGAGAACCCGCGGGTATGGGTAAGGCGGCAGCTCGTCTTACCTCGTTCGTTTCTTTCCCGTTGAGAGCGCCGGCCTCTCTCGTCGGGGCATTCTTTACCCCTGTGAAACGACCAAGCAGTGCATGTTAGAACAATACTTTGTCATCGCAAAAAAAATCAAACCAGCATAAAATGAAAGCCGAACGAATGACGAACGTTCACAGAGAACACGGACTAATTAGCCGAATTAAAGTTCCTGGCACAGGGGTGTCGATTTTTCAAAATGGTTGGGGGTGCTCAACCCCTGCACCGGGTGAAAGATTGCAGCTTTGCCATGGGGCACAACCGTATAGGGTTGGTTATCCCCATAAGGTACTGAATACTGATAATGCCGAGATTTCCACTAATATTTCCCAAGGGCAGAACGTTCTTCTTGAAAATCATTCCGCTCGCCCTAGTACTTGGCTACCTTATTACATAAACATCTTTCCGAAAAAAGTCGTATATTTGCCGGCAGTATGGCAGCAGCCCCGGCACCTCTGTTAAAAGGTGCCAGAAACCGATGACGGCGATTAGCACCGGTGCAGCAGTCGCTGCGGTCCGCAGGGGTGGACATTGCGCGGAGACAACGGTAGCTACGATGCTCTGGCAGTAATTAGACGATCACAATAATCGCTGAAAAAAATGAAAGGTGATCGCATTTGGATATTTACAGGTTTACGATTTTCCTCAGTGGCGTAGCCGGGTGGGCCCGTGAGGCACGTGCCCCCCCCCCCCCATCAGGTTCAGGGTCCCCTCGGGTTATTCGGGCCTGAGGGGCCCTGCGGCGCCAATTGGCCGATAAGGGTCCATGTTGACCATATTTGGACTCAGAAGGGCCCCACAGGGCTCGTAAAAAACACCTCATGGGCCCACAAGTATCAACAATAAGATCTCCATAAGGGCCCAAGCCAGCCTCTGAGGGCCCCTTACCGGCCTCGCAGGGCCACTTGCCGGACTCTGGGGGTCCTAACCGGCCTATTCCCAGCCAGCAAATTTGGCCTTGGCCGTAGCTGGTTTTACTCTGGATAGCTCAGGCATTTGCTCCGGCTGAAGTACGGGCAAGGTCTGGGGCTCTACTGGAGCTGACACGATCCCGGAGCTCGCCCGCACCACAGCCGGACTTATGCCGCATCAGCCGTGCCGTACCTCCACCGTACTTCAGCCACAGTAAGCCAGAGCAGCTATGAGGCAGCCGGACTGGTCGTAAGGGAGCCGGACTTGAGCCGTGGCAGGGAGCCGGACTTGAGCCAGACTTGGCGGTCCGGAACCATACCAACCCGGGAGCGCTACGGCCAAGAATGGCTAACCGGAATAGAGCCGTATCGACCCAAACCCCGGCTCTGACGGCGTCCCTTTTATACCGGCCCGAGTCTGGCATGTCGGAGTTGCCGGGGCAAAACGGACTTGCGCCGAACCAAGTTGCTGGCTGGGTTAGGGGGCTCTGGGAGCTCTCTGGGAGCTCCACACCCGCCTGTAATAGCCCCACACCTATTTCTCTGAGGGCCCCTATAACGGCGACTGTGAGGGCCCTCACCGGCGCCTCTGAGCGCCACACCGGCGTCTCTGAGGGCCCCACACCCCTAACTCTGAGGCCCCACACCAATGCATTTAAAAACCCCACATGGGCGGTTCTGAGGGCCCTTGTCAGTTATCAGCGACCCTGACGGTCCCACACAGGTGACTCGGAGGGTCCCAGCGGCGTCTGAGAGCGCCATGCCGGTCTCTGAGAACCCCACAAGGCTCCTGATGGCACCGGTGACCTCTTGATATCTTCTTGTCGGCCTATGAAGGGTCCGTTCCGTAACAGCAGTTCTGAGGGCCACACGCGCGCCTGTGATGGCCCTAAACCAGTGTCTCTGAGAGCCCCCACAACGGCGCCTGTGAGGGCCATACATTGCCATATCTGAGGGCCCCACACTAGTGCCTCTTAAGGCCCTATATCGGCGGCTTTGAGGGCCCAACATCGTCGCTTCTGAAGGCCCCACAAGTGCACATGTGATGGCCACCCACCGGTGACATTTGAAGGCCCCACACCGGCGACTCTGAGGGCCCCATCGGCATCTGAGCCCGTGCCGGTCTCTAGCCCTCGCCCGCACATGGGGGGGGGGTTGCCCCCCCCCCCCAGGTAGTCTTTCTGCTCTGCACTCAACATTTTTAGAGCTAGAGAGCTGATTTTTGGTATAGCTGCTCCTCTATCCTTTCTTGATGTCCACTGAAAATTTCAAGTTTCTGTGATTTTTGGTTTCGGAGATATAACCTTGTTTGTCAGGTCATGTCATGACCCAAATGGCCAATTCTCAACATCTTGCGTTTGCCATGGGTCTTGTGAGCTTTTGACACCTTGATTTCGGCCTTTTTTGCCAGTCTTACCTCCCACCTATCATGGAACATGTTGTTCGACGATGTACAGGGGTCAAGGTCAGGGTCAAGGTCAACCTAGGTCATCTAAGATAATTGCGTTTTAGGCAAGCTGAATTTACTTTTTGTGAAGTTTTTTTTGCCTGCATTTTTGGTAAAAGCTTCTCAGATCATGATTTCATGTAATATGGACACAAAAACAATCGGTGCACACATCAGTATACACACAGACACACACAGACATACAAACACATATAACTGACCTTGACCTAACTTGACCTGAAATGACCTCAGCAGCAAAAATCTGGTCGGGTAGTTTGACAAAGAGGTTCTAGCTGGCTTGGCACCAGAAAACGGCATCGTCAGACGTCATCGGTATATGCTAAGCAGCGCACTTGATATCCAACGGTGACCCAAAACAGCAACATTTTTTAGTTTGACCTGACCTGGAAGGTCAATGACTGACCTGAGAAGGTAAAATCGGGTATCATTGGATTCGTCTCTTCCCAAAGAATCTTTTTTGTCTTTACCGCTAAGCTCTATCTCCAACAGGAACGAAACGGCGCGGGGGGGTGGCAACCACCCCCCCCCCCATGTGCGTTCTAGGATGGGAAAATGGCATGTGCGGGCGAGGGCTAGAGACGACCCCACAGGGTTTCTGAAGGTACCACCGGCCTCTGATGGCACTTTGCCGGCCTCTGAGGGCCCGTCGCCGGTCTCTGGAGCCCCCTGCCGGCTTGTAAAGGGTACACGCCATCAGCTCTAAGGGTCCGACACCCGTCTACGACGGACCCACACCAGTGTCTTTGCAACTTAACGTCTTTTTACGCCCTTCTTCTTAAGACTAACTTTTACTTTCTTTACATCTTTACTTCATGCATTGTAAATTGCGTAATTGTTTTATTTTTAGTAGTGAAAGACTGCGGAACCAATTATTTCCCTCAAGCAGAGTTAGTGGGAGTTTTTGAGGGACCAAATCATTGGGGATGCTAAACTGGAACATTTGGGGGTGCCCGGAAAACCATTGGGGGTGCTCATTTGAGCATTGGGGGTGCTGCAGCACCCCCAAAGGTATACAAATCGACACCCATGTGGACCTGGCACGTTATATTCAATTCATGCTGACCAATTATACAGCCGAGGGCCAGATTACCTTTCGATGCTTTATCCAGATCGTCTTCAATGGATGCCAAAGACGATTCCGTCTGAAACAAAGCGTCATATTATTGCTTTCGTTAACATTTAATGGAAAAGATATAAAAGCAGAGATAATGTCAAGAGATGCCGTTATCAAATAACTCGAAACGAGTAGCACGTGCCTGTGATCATATTTTCCTTACAAATATTCGCAATACCTTACATCATTCATAAGAAAGCAGTTACGAGGTTAGGAGCAACGTAATTAACAAATTATAATTTCACACATAGCATGCAACAAAAGAATTGATGAAAAGAACAAGTAGAAGAGTTAATCAACATAGTTTTGCGCTTCCAGCATGGTAAACGACACTCTCCACAGGTAAAAAACATATTGTCACAGGTAAAAATGGTAAATTCAAAAACCCCAGGGAATGTGTCAAGAGGGGAAAAATCAGCACCAGTGTCGTCAAAAGGGCACACATCCAGCCGGGCCAGCAGTGGTTAGTGGCATGTCAGACCGACTGCGGGTCTTCCAAGCCGCCGCTGGGGAGTGCCAGCAGCTCAAGTGTCAGTCCAAACCGAGAGAGCAGGATTTAACAACCAAACAACAGCGCCTGCGGTCGGCTGACCGGCCTCGCCGCCGCCAGGTTAGCGGAAAAGAGCCGCCCTGCCGGCACAGCGCCGCGGGGTGTTAGCCACACTCAGCGGGGTTAGCCAGCCAGCCAGCAAGCTCGGCCGCGCCACCCGGCGCTGCTCACAGCGGCCTGCAGGCGCGTCCAGTCGGCGCGCGGCGGCGCCGGCGTCGCCTCCATGCCGCGGATCTCCAGCTGCAGCGAGGTCTGGATGGCGCCGTCGGCGGCGGCGGCGCCCGACCGCCCGGCGCGCGTCTCCGTCTCCCTGATGAGCACGGCCGACTCTGGCGGCAGACAGTCGCCGTCCACCCGGCACGAGGCCAGCAGGTGGCCAGCGTCGCCGCCCAGACGGAACGACACCGTGCGCGGCTCGCGCTCCGGCGTCCGCTTGGTGCGCAGTCCGAGCACAATCACGTGCGGGTGGTGCAGGTCAGACCCGGACGGACGGCCGGCCGTCGCACCGGGTGAGGTCGGAGTCGGAGTCGGAGTCGATCGGCGGTCGGGAGTCGAACGATCGGCGTGAGTCGGAGTCGCACCGGGCTCCGGGTGAGGCGGAGGAGTCAAAGGAGCGTCACCTGGAGTCGGAGTCGGAGTCGGAGTCGAACGGGCATCGCCCGCAGTCGGAGTCGGAGTCTTGCGTGCATCGGCTGGAGTCGGAGTAGGAGTCGATTGGGCGTCGGCTGGAGTGGGGGTCGGAGTCGAGCGTACGTCTGCCGGAGTCGGCTGGGTCGGGAGGTCAGCGGCGACTGGGCGGGGTCCTGTAACCTCCCCGTTCCCGGCGCGGCCCACCCCGGGCACCTCCCCGTTCCCCTGTGCGCCGTCCCCCTCGGGGCGGGGCTCGAACGGCCACGAGTCGGCCGGCGCCGGCGGCTCGGCGCGCGCCGACTGCAGCGCCTCCAGACTCTCATAGCGACGCACCGCGTTGGCGCCGTCGTGTCTCAGCTCGACCACGCCGTCCACCAGGTCGGCCGCCTCGTCTCCGTCGGCGCCCAGCTCGGAGAGCTCGGCGCCCGTCTCGGCCGGCAGCGAGACGTCGTCGCCGGCGGCCGTCTCCATCTCCAGGCTCAGCTGACTGACGCTGCGCGCCAGCCGGCTGACGGCCGAGGCCACGTCGGCGGTACTCTCCAGGCTGTAACCGGCGGTGGCCGGCGGCGCGCCGTCGCGGCTGTAGCCCGTCTCCAGGCTGTAGGTGCGCCACGACGGGTCCGTCATCATGTAGCGCGAGTCCAGCGACAGCGAGTAGTCGGAGGCCAGGCTGTCAGAGGCCAGCGAGTCCACCGAGCCCCACAGCTCCTGCCGGAGGACCGAACGGAGATAGCATCAGCCGTCGCACGGCGTGGAAGGAAACGAATGTCGTTAACTGCAATGTTATACATTCAACAAATCGAATGAACGGAGTTTATGGCACACTGATTACACAAACAGTGCAGAGGCGAAAAGCACTATCATTAACTCAAAGTGAGTTGATTTATTTTACCTGGGCACTTCTAGATGCATCCCTCTCAAGTTCCGAGCAAGACTTGTAAGAAGACAGCAAATATAAGTTAGTTGAGACTAGGCTGAGAACACCTCTGTCACGACCCTATATATTTTTAACGCAAATCAAATATACACAAAATGGCATTCAGACGGGCACTCGTTTCGGTGGGATTTCTTCTTACAAAGTATGCGTTGTATCCGTTTCCGACAAAGAGGTGTCAAATATGTGGACACTGAGATATGATGTGGACTGTCCACCACATTTCGGCATTTTACTGCGACACCTGAGTTAGGTACGACACTAAAGCCCCGTCCATCCCCGTGAGCCTTCAAAATTACATTGTGGGAGCGCCAAAATAAAGATAGTCATCACCAGACGCAGCTGATGTCTTGCGACTAACGTGTCTCGCTGGGGTGCTATATCAGGTCGGGCTGAGATATGGGAGCGCCAATGAGTCTCCATGTCGCGCACCGTTGTCTGTTCAAACCATACCTTACCTTGTCCGTGTCATCCTCCTTTGGTTGCCAGGGAAACGGGAGATTAGCGTGTAATCAACGGCAGTTGAGACAAGATCTAACAACAACTGTGCATTTATTCTAAAAAGCTGTAGGATGCTCTATTGTGAGAACAATGCAGTACGCTACGGTCCTTCTGATTGGGTAAATAGTGCTACTAGCTAAACTTCGAACAAACTTTTATAACTGTGGTCTTCCACAGTACCTTTTACGGATCCACCAGACAACAGAGCCCCGAAACAGATACGAAACTATGAGTCACCAAAACACTACAGACCGACGAGTGCGGTCATACCGCCGAGTCCCGGCGATACACACACCTGTTTGAGAGCTCGGATGTTGGAGCTGATTTTGGCGGCGTTCAGTTTCTGCGAGACGGTGCTCATCTGTTTCATGATGCGCTCCATGGCCTTTTCCGTCTCCTCCAGCCTGCGGCGCAGCTGGTCGATCTCGGCCTCCTCTGTACAGACAGAGACGCATAGACGTCATGAGATTGGCTAGCACCGGCTGACTAGTCGAGGCTGGGTATTCCAGTTCGGTGTCCCACGGAGCGCGCAGGTGATTGTTAGATAATCGTAGGTAGTTGTAGTTGTGGATTCGAACTATAGGTAATACATATTGCGGCAGCCGGCAGGGATGGTAAAGATACCATTACTGTCCCTCACATGCAAAACGTCTACTGCAACAAGGTCTGTTTTCAATGATGAAATACGGATACTATTCCTGATCACATGCTAAGAGAGCACCCCCGGCCGAGGTCCACGCCGCGACCACGTGACCCGCGGGTGGGAGGACCGCTCAGCCCTCCCGCTGAGGACAGGTGGCGGCATGCGGTCGGCAGCACAGGCCGCCGGTCGTCGATGGTTTATTCTGTGAGCCTGTTTGTGGTGGCAGCACTCCAGGCGGCCGGCAGCCGACTGTCCCCCCGGACCACATACTCGGGCCGGGGAGACCCGGGAGGGGGACCGGCGGACAGGTGGATGGGACGGGACGGGACGATAGGATGGAAGGGACGGCCCGAGAGGACAAACAGACAGGACGGGACGATAGGATGGATGGGACGGGACGAGGGGACAGACAGACAGGACGGGACGATAGGACGGACGGGACAGGATGGAACGAGCGAGCGGGCGGACGGAGGGAACAGACGATGGGACGGAACAGGAAGGGGCAAGACAGGACGGGAAAACAGACGGACAGACCGACGGGCGAATGGAGAGAAATGACGGATGGGACGGGTGGGACGTGCGACGGGATGGACAGGACTAGTTAAAGCGACAAAGACATCTATGAGACCGTGACAGACTGAAGCATGAGACAGCGATGACAATGGGCTCTGTGCGCACCCAGCCGCGGCAGTAGCCAACATGGCGTAAATTACATGAGACGCTCCGAATATGACATGACGGAGAGAGAACAGTTTATGTAATGACGCCCAGTCCGTCATGAGACCCACAGGCTGCCAAATTCGTGTGTGGAATGAAAGGAGGCAGAGATGGCAGAGCAGCATGAGGGTCGGTCATCGCTCATGGCGAAATAGTATGAACTTACTCTCAGCAACAATGTCCTTATCTTTCGTGTCTTTATCGTAATGGCAGCATGGAAAACACAAATAGCAGAAAAAGAAGTCAGACATCGTGCATGAAACAGCATCAAACTCTTTAATGTTAGCAAAGGGTGGTGAACAGTTAAATGTTACCGAGAAGGAAAACCAGCAAACCACGGCAAAAGACAACACATGTCAGTCCACCCGGTTCATTTCCTACAGGGAGAGGACCAACTAACACGGCACAGCCCAGCACCACAGCGCAGCGTTGGTAACACATTGCCCGGACAAGCTCCTTCGTCCTCACCTTGTCTGCCGGGCGCGGGCGGCTCCGGCTGCGCCGCCGCCGCCGCCGCCGCCGCCGCCGCTGCTGCTGCAGCGGGAGCCCCGGCCGGCACTCCGTTACCCACGGGGGCGGTGGCCGCTGGGGATACCGGTGGCACGCAGGTCAGTAATCGGGCCGCGTCATTCAGGGGCGGTCAGTGGGGTGAAGGCGCGGCAACCTTAGGGAAGTCGCCCACGACGACGTGCGGTACAGCTCAGTAAAGTCAGATTAAGCAGCAGTCAGAGTGAGATTATAGAAGAGCTGTACAGTAGAACACGCAACGCTGATCTTTTAACATACGTTACTGTAGGATTATAAAATACAAATCCCGTTCCTCCCAGCACCCGCTGATGTCACTGACCTGCCGGTGACCTGTGCGCCGGCGCCGGGGCCGGGATGGCCGGCGCCGGGGTCGGTTTGGGGGCCGGCGCCGGGGCGGGGGCGGGGGCGGCGGTGCGGGCGGCGGCGCGGCGCTCCAACAGCGGCTCGGCGGCCGGCCGGCCGGCGGACCGGACTCCGCGCGAGTCCACTGCGTCAGGCTGCTGCAGTCGGTAGCCGGTGAAGGCCGCCGGCGGCTTCACGTCCCGCGGCGGCGAGACGCGCGCCGGCGGCTCCTTGCTGGGCTGGCGCTTAAACATTACCTGCCGAGTGGTCGCAGAGCGGTCCGATTGGATAGAAAAATAACAGCAATTGGAGTCAGTTCGGTAGACAAAAGTGGCGAGGAACAATCTGACACTCAGTTTTGATCGACGCATATACCTATAAATACTGAAACTCGGAAAACACAGTCCTAAGAGTGACAATATCGCTATATGATACTTATAACCCATTTCTGTCTACACATTCCACCCCATGCTGAAACATAGCGCAAATCTCTGGCGAGCCTCCCCTGTAAGCGCGAAGATGTATTTCTGTCCTTTATTCCTTTTATTTACCGGCCGCAACCTCCAGCGTGGGCTCTCCTCATGTATGTTTTGAGACGTTTAGTTTTTGCCCCGCCGAGCCTGTGTAGAAGGCGGCCGGCCTGTGTCTGCAGTGGTAAAAGCGATATAATTCGGTAAGATGATTATTTTTAGGTTATTTAGGCTGGATTAGCTCAATTTAATATGTTATTCAGTTTCTCGGTATTTTTATTGTGTTTTGTCGCTTTCGTTTACCTAGTTGAATGATCGAAATCGTTTTGGCACGGCGCCAGGCGAGGAGGCGAATAGTAAGTCCTCAAGTGCTGTATGGGACCTGACTGTGTGATTTTTCGTTTTAGGAACCGTGTGTTGTGTCAACCCGGCATAATACATGAGTACCGAGATATCGCATCTAAGAGGGGCCCGGCGAGTGAGACACCTGCTACGAGCCCACTTTGAGGCAACAAGCGATCTGCTGCAAAACGCACAGGCGGTCACAGTTCCGAATTCGCCTGAAGGACGCCACAGACGCTGGAAACCGCAAGTACAGTCTCCAGATCTGCAACTGTCGTATCTACTGCTTCACCTCCTCCTGATGAGGGGATCTTCAGCCTGCACTTCTGCAGCCTGGCTGTCACCTGCTGCACAGCAACCTGCGTGAGACCTGACCAGTACTTGGCATCACGCCAACTGCATCTGAACTGTGGTGAGCAGAGACAGCCGTTTCATATATGCTGCTAAGGACTTATCTATACTGCTTGCTACCAAATTGCAGCTGGTGATTTAACTTTTTGATGATGTGCCTTCAGATATGTTGCTGTGCATAGCCTCGTTCGTCGTCAACTGGAGATAGTGAATGTGCTGCCTGATGTTAAATGTTGAGACGGTTGTTATATCTGTAGAATTGGCTGTTGAATGAGTGGAACATGCCCATGCTGTAGAAAGTGTGATTTTGTAGGGCATCCATAACCAGGTTGACGGGTTTGACTTCTGTAGAAGGTGACATTTCAGTTGTCAAATGTTGAAACTTGAAAGCTCCTGATAATTCTGCCTGGAGTCCTTTGCCAGATATTCCTGAATCCTCAGCCTGGAAGGCCATCGATAAGTTCATTGAGGGGTTGAGAGGATCATTACTCTTCAGAAGATCTGAGGTTTCTGTCTTTAGTTATCATGGACTTGTCGAGCCTAACAGTTCCATTGTTGAAGGCACAGCTGCTAGCAAGAAATGTTGACATCAGAGGAACTAAAGCAGTTCTTGTAGAACGATTGAGAGAAGTTCTTCATGGTGAAGGTGTTGATGAGGCATCCTTTGTTGCTCAGCTGTTTGGCAACCCTACAGGTGGAATGGAACAGGCAGATGAGTTTCCAGAAGATCCGTCAGCCATTGTGAGGCAGCACGTCAGCGCTCCAGTGCCCAGCCAGCCAGAGGTGAAGAGTCCAGGTGGTCCGGGCTACCTTGCCCCGGTGAATCCTGAAGATGCTGATCGAAGACTGAAGACGCTGATCGAAGACCAAGAGGACGGAAGAGGACGAAAGCAAGGGGACGGAGGTCAGCCAACTGATGATGTGAAGCCAGGTGACAGTGTGTCTCAAGTGGGTGCGTCCCTAGCATCCAGGCACTCAGGATCGTCAGGGACACTGGCGTCTCTGAGGGCTCAGCAGGCTGCCAAGCAAGCTGCTCTGAAGGTTAAAATGAAGTACTTGAGAGAGAAACAAGCACTGGAACTCAAAGAACAAGAGCTCAAGATGAAGAAAGAGGAACTCGAGCTGCAGCAAGCCCTGGCGGAGTCAGAGGCTATTGAAACAGCACTGACGGCAAGCAGCCCAAACTCTGCTGTCTCTGGAGGTGTTGACCAACATGCAAATGACTTTGGTCAGAACCCAGTCACTGTGAAGCAGGTCTCTCGCCCCCAGGTATCAGCTCCGGAAGTTGGAGGAGTAGATGGTGAGGACCCTCACTCTGCTTTGATGAGGAAGCTGTTGACATCAAGCATCCTTCCTAAACCTGAGATTCCGGTATTTTCAGGAGACCCGACCAGGTTTCATCAGTTTCTCAGGGCCTTTGACGGACGTATTGACAGCGTTGTGACAGATGAAGGCGACAAGCTTTGCTACCTGGAGCAGTTCACTTCAGGAGTACCACGTGATATTGTCAGAGGGTGCATGTTTATGTCATCAGGTGGATACCAGGAGGCGAGGAGATTGTTGCTGAAGAGATATGGCAATCCTCAAAAAATGACTGAATCCTTTATCGAAAGGTTGATGGCCTGGCCTCAGGTAAGAAATGATGACGTGACGGCTCTGGATCGCCTGGCAGTGGAGCTGCGGACCTGCAGCAATGCAGTTGGAAGCCTGGGTGGAGCCGATGAACTCAACCATCCCAAAACCCTACGGAGACTTCTCGAGAAGTTGCCATTCTCGATTCAAGAGGGATGGAGACGAGAAGTGGACAGGATCGCAGAAAGGAATGAAAGACAAGCTTCATTCACAGACCTGGTGAACTTCGTTGAGGTAGAGGCACGGATAGCGTCAAACTCCTCTTTTGGTCGTCAGCTGTTTTCGAACTTCTCGAAGAAGACGTCGGACCCTAGAAGCTCAAGCCCTAGAGGTCAAGTAAAGAAGTGCAACCGCATCGAGGCTGATCAACAGCGGGCCTGCCTCTTCTGTGGAGAAGAGCATCACGTGGAGGCCTGCAAGAATCTAAGGATGAAATGTCGCACAGAAAGGGAGACCTTCGTAAAGAACAACGGCCTCTGTTTTGGATGTCTCAACAAAGGACATGTGTCAAAGTTCTGTAACAGAAGGAGGACATGCGCGATCTGCAAGAAAAGACACCCAACATCTTTGCACTATGAACAGCAGCCTCAGCCACCAAGTGAAGGAGAACGGATGCAGAGTCCTCAAGAACAAACAAGAGTGAAGAGCCTGGGGGTTGATCTGCTGAAAACAGGTGATGGGTTGAAGTCGAGGACGCCAGCCGTCATGATGTCCATCTTGCCAGTCAGGGTGTGGTCTTCGGATGGTGGTAAGGAAGTTGAGACCTACGCTTTCTTGGATGGAGGCAGCTCAGCTACATTCTGTTCAAGGTCTCTTCTGGATGAGCTGGGAGTTGTTGGGGAAGACACCAAGATCTCTATGACCACAGCTTCAGTCGAGAATCAGGAGCTGGACAGTCGTGTAGTACGAGGGTTGAAGGTTGCCAGCTTGGACGGCGACAACATGATTCCACTCCCTCCTACTTACACTCTCAGTGCCATCCCTGTGAAGCATGAGGATATGGCCTCAAGTGAAGATGTTGATCAGTGTGCCCAATTGAGGGGGATCGAGCTGCCCCGCATCGATGCAGAGATTGGACTCCTGATAGGAAATGATTGCCCAGAAGCTCTCCAGCCTGTAGAGATCAGAAGAAGTCGGAACGGTGGTCCGTACGCTATTCGAACAGACTTGGGTTGGGTGGTGCAGGGCCCGAGGCACAACTCTCTGCTGGATGGAAGAAGAGTGAAGGTAAACCGCGTGCAAGTTGACAAGATGAAGCTTGATGAGATGCTGGTTAACATGTACGACAAAGAATTTCCAGAGAAGATCAGCGCCACCGAGAAGGGGCCCTCAGAGGAGGATCGTCGCTGGATGGAGAAGGTGACTCGGAGTTGTAAACGACAGGCAAATGGACACTTCCAAATAGGGTTGCCATTCCGAGATACTGACCCTGCGATGCCAAACAACAAGACATGCGCTCAAAGAAGACTCGTGGGCCTCAAGAAGAAATTGGAGAAGGATGTGAAGTTCTCTCAAGACTACCGCAAATTCATGGAGGACATGTTCAGGAAGGGACATGCCGAGAAGGTTCCCACGGAGAGCCTGACAAGAAATGATGGAAAAGTGTGGTACATACCTCATCATGGGGTTTACCACCCGTTCAAACAGGAGAAGATCCGAGTAGTCTTCGATTGTGCGGCAAGGTTTCGGGGCGTTTCCCTGAACAGTGTTCTCATGCAGGGGCCAGATCTAGCGAACTCGTTGACAGATGTTTTGGTGCAGTTCAGAGAGGGTCCTTGCGCGTTTATGGCTGACGTGGAAGCTATGTTTTATCAGGTAGCTGTTCCTGAAGAGGACCGAGACGTCATGAGGTTCTTGTGGTGGCCAGGTGGCGATTTCTCCAGAGATCCGGAGGAGTTCCGGATGACCGTGCACTGCTTCGGGGCAAGCTCATCTCCAAGCTGTGCCAACTTCGCTTTGAGAAAGTGTGCTGATGACAAGGAAGACTGTGATCCCGAAGTGAGCAAGGCTGTGAAACAGAAGTTCTATGTAGATGATTGCCTTGTGTCAGTTGAAACGCCAGAAGATGCTGTGAAGATGGCGAAGGAGTTGAAAGATGTGTGTGATCTGGGCGGTTTCCGACTAACGAAGTTTGTCAGCAACAGCCGTGAGCTGCTCGAGTCGGTTCCAAAGGAAGAACGTGGGAGGTGTGTCACTGAACTGAACCTGAGTATCGACGCGCTTCCAGTGGAGAAGGCGCTGGGTGTGTGCTGGACGTTGGAGGACGATGCACTCAGCGTAAGGGTGACGACAAGAAGTTCGCCGGCTACCAGAAGAGGCGTTCTCTCGATGATCGCAGCCATGTATGACCCCCTGGGAATCGTGTCGCCAGCTGTTCTTCGAGGACGCCTGATCATGCAGGACTTGATGAGGCTGCAGTTGGATTGGGATTCGTCCATTCCTTTGCAGCAGAAAACACA